AACCAATCAGCAAATTTAGAGTTTCAGAGGTGATTCAAAATATGATAAAATTTGAAATAGCAATTATTATGTTTATTATTTGGGAGCAATGTCTTATTTATAATATGTATTACTCATTAATGTTATWTCAGCGTTGTACTAGCTTTGTCTTTTAGCTTGAACAATAAACAATGTTTATTGTTCAAAATATTAAGTATATTATGTTTATTAAACATTATATACTTAATATTTTAATCTGTCATTTGAATAAGTTAGTGAGTCATTACATCATTAAATATGAAATTGCGAACTCATGGGCCTCTACACGAACATATTGAGTGTCATGMATTTTTTTATTGAAGAATAAATGAAAATAAAAAAAGTAAACAATAAATGGTAGATACCAAATAATGATTAGGCGTATACAAACATCTGCCATATTATATATTATAGAAATTCGAATTACTGAAATAAATTAACACATAATATGATGAATCCTGTACATTATTCAAATACAGAAGAAAAAATTGACACGCAGAAAATTCAAGATACCAGGAATTGAGATAGCGAAGATCCACTGTATAGTTATTGGTGTATTTATTTTATTTACGTTTAATTTTAAAACTCAAAATTATTTCATATTATAAAATAATAATTTCAAAATAGAGTCGTACTATTGTAGCAAATTACATATTTCATATGGCACTATTGCATATAATTTAAATTAGGAAATATAAAAATAAGTAAGTCTTAATAATAAAGGCTTCTAGTTACGCCACTGCATACTTATATTAGAAGACACATACATGTTAAGTTCAGTGGAACTCCGGGTGACCATACTTTTCGTAAGCCTTTCGTTATTTTGTATTTGATAAGAACTAAAGAACTATGTGGTCGTATAGAACAGAAGAATTTTATAGAAACTTAGTATTTTATCTATATTTACCAAAGCTCCAGAAGTACGGTAAAAACTAAAAATATAATTCAAWCTGTTAGACCTAACCATCACTGAATTATTTACATATAACAGGTTCTCCAACCCCGTTACACGATAATATATCCCATACTTACTGGCCCAGAATATCCAGATTCCTGGTAAGTAAACGTCAAAGGAGTAACGCTAGACCATACGTCGAATGCTTTCCGGAATATCAAGTCTGTTTGCCGCTTATCCAGCTGCTTAGAATACTTGGATATTGTATACGTCAAGTCTTTCACCAACCACCGGCTACCTATCAAAAACAAAATACATTAAACGTCTTAAAAATAATATAATA